ATTCTTGCCAGCAAAACTAGCACAGAACAGACTGCATTTAAGACCATTTCTGGGGCCTGGCAGTGGTGGCGCACGCCTTTAATCCCAGCATTTAGGAGGCAGAGGCAGGCAGATTTCTGAGTTCGAGGCCAGCCTGGTCTACAGAGTGAGTTCCAGGACAGCCAGGGCTACACAGAGAAACCCTGTCTCGAAAAACAAAACAAACAAACAAACAAACAAACAAACAAAAAGACCATTTCTAAACTCCCTAAACCTTATCACCTCCAGCCTTTAAGATCTAAGAATACTGGGCTGAGGTTATAGCAAGGTGGTACCGTGCTTGGAGAGAAGTTCAATCACTTGCACTACAGTTAAAAAAAAAATGTGATCGAAGGGGACGTATGGGTTGAGAGATGATTCAGCTGTTAAGAGTATACACTGCTCTTACAGAGAGACTGAGTTCCATTCCCAAGCACTCTCACTAGGCATCTCACAACCAACCTGTAACTGCAGCTCCAAGGGATTTTGGAGATCTCTTCTGGCTTCCGGCATCTTTGTGGTAAAGAATGCTCAAAAGGTTGACTGTCAAGTGGAAATAAATCAATACCCACCATGCTGTACAATAGAGTTCCTGTGCTAATTCCAGCCACTTGAAACTCTGTACCTCTGTACCTGGTGATAGTCCCTAACGTGCTCCTAGTAGCCACCATTCCACTCTACTTCTAGACCAACTATTTTACATTCTGCCCGCAGATGAAGTTATGCAGTGCTTGTCTTTCTAAGCTTGGCTTGTTTAAAGTGTCGATCGTCATTCCCATCCATGTTGTCGACAAGACAGGATTTCACCCATTAAAAAAAAAAAAAGTCATGTGTATGTCTACATGTATGTCTGTACACCAAGTATATTTGTATGTCTGTGCACCAAGTATATGTGTATGTCTGTGCATCAAGTATATGTGTATATTTGTGCATGTAATGTCTGCATGTATGTCTGGTGCCTACCCTAGCCAGAAGGGAGCAAAGGATCCCCTGGAACTGGAGTTACAGATGACTGTGAGCCACCTTGTGGGTGCTGGGAAGTGAACCTGGATTTTTCTGGAAGAACAGTCAGTGTTCTTAATCACTGAGCCATCTCTCCAGCCCTCAGCCATTCTTTCCATGGCTGAATAGTTTTACATCACTGTTTTTATATGAAGGTTCTCAGTGTGACAGCTTAAGCTGGACTAGAACTTGTTATGAAGATCAGGTTTGGCTTAAAACTCATAGCAATCCCTCTGCCTCATAAACTCATCAGTTCTTCTAGGAAGCATTCCTTGGGCCAATGAGATAGCACAGTGAGTGACAGCGTTTGCTGCTAAGACTGATGATCTGAAGCCAACTCCCAAGAATCATACTGGTGGAAGGAGAGAACCAGCGGCTGTAAGTTGTTCTCAAATTCACAGAGCTCTTACTACTGATTGCCTCTGCTTACCGAGTGCTGGGATTGAAAACGTGTGCCACCACACCCAACTCTTCTGAAAATGTTTCTGAAACAGTTCTAATCATTTCTTCTTTTGCTTAGTAAATTTATAATCACTTTTTTTTTTCTTTTTGAAAATACCTCTTATTTGATCCCTTCTTTGTAGGAACTTGCCACTAGCTTCTGGAGAACATTAGCACCAGGGAAATCAGAGCCCAAAAAGAGGAAAAGACAGCAGAGGCTCATGTCCTACAGTGGTGATGCGCATTCTGGCTCTTCCCTAATTTGCTGGTTTCACAGAAGGGACTGGAGTTGTTACTGGCAGTGGTAACGCCTATTCCCTCCAACACTTATAAATCAAGGAAGGACATTAGCATGATACATAGATACTAAGGAAGGGAGGCCACTTCTGAATCACACACAATAGTGAGGTTTCCATATGAAAGAGAGGTTCTGTCTCCCAAAAGAGGAGTTAAAAAAAAATATCTAGCCAGGCTTGGTGGCGCACGCCTTTAATCCCAGCACTTGGGAAGCAGAGGCAGGCAGATTGCAGAATTCCAGTCCAGCCTCGTCTACAGAGTGAGTTCCAGGACAACCAGGGCTATAAAGAGAAACTGTCTCAAAACAAACAAACAAACAAACAAACAAACAAACAGAATCTTTCCAGACAATTATAGCTCCTCTAATCTGCTATGAGGAAGTAGTCATGATCTATCCCACAGTTGCTAATACTGTAAAGCCTTTCTTGATTCCCATAACAAAGCTGCTTTCTGTTCAGAGAATCTGTCATTTTATGCTCAACAGTGGGTGCAATGCGGTTCAGCAAGCATATATTCAAATTATAGCTTTGCCACTCAGTTGCTGCATATCTAACCTCTTGGAAGCTAATTGGCTGGCTTGATTTTTGCCATGCTACAGCCTGGCATGTGGCCATATGCATATACTGCACAAATTAACTCCGTACCCAACCCAGTAGTTCTTTTTCTGGAAAATGAAGACTCCACTATCAACCTCAAAGAACTGTTGCAAAGATTAAAGATGTCCCTGCTGAGTGTCTAACAAGTGGGCACTCCACTCATGTTAACTGTGCTGCCTCTTCGCCTACCCTACATCTTGTTAGAATAAACTCTTTTAATCAACTTTGCATGTGTCTGTGATGTGTGTATGCAGTTCACATGTGTGGGTGCACATGTATGCCAATATGTGCACTCCTATGTGCATGTGGAGGCCGGAGGCTAACATTGGGAGTTACTCTTCACATTATTCACTGAGGCAGGTGTTGGACTCTAAGATAGAAAACCAGGGGATGCGCTCCCACAGAAACACACATGGACAGGACTGCAATAACATGAGGTTTAATGAACCAGTGCACTGGGGTTCTAGCACATGCAAGCAAGAAGACACCCCCCCCCCCAGTTGGAGCTAAGAACAGTATTTATACAGTTTAAGGGTGGACAGTGACTAGGCACAATATGATTGGAGGAACAGTGTGACTTTTAAACTGATTGGTCTTTGGGGAATGAGGTGGCAAGGACCTCCCTTGTCTGTAAGTGGCAAGGACTGGTCCGTCCTTTGGAATGTTCTACATGCTCTGGGCCTTTCTCACCCGCAGGTGGATTCCCTCCACGTGGTCTGAGGAATGTTAATCCACTTTTCTCTTCCTCCTCTGAATGTTAATCCAGTACGTGGCCTCTAACTAAGGAATGTGCTCCCCCTGGGGTGTGTCTTGGGGCAGTTAATTCTCTGAATGTTAATCTAGTAGGTGTCCTCTAACTAAGGAATGTGCTCCTCCCAGGATGTGTCCTGGGGCAGTTAATTTTTGAATTTGACCAAATTCCTACACAGGGTCTCAAAAGAGCCACCCATGTGGCTAGTCTAGTTAACCAGCTTGCTCCAGAGATTCCTTGTCTCCACCTAACTGAACTACAAGTCAGTTTCCTTGCTGATCTGGCCTAGACATGGGTGCTGGGGATCTGAACTCTGGTCCTCATGCTTGGGTGGCAGGCATTTTACGAACTGAGCATGCTTTCCAGATTCTAGAATGAGCTTTCTGAGGAAATTGTAACTCTCTGTGTCCTAAGTATGTAAGTGGAGACTGCACTCATCTGTGATGTTTCTTTGACACCTGACACATAAGGAGGAGAAATTGTGTTGATGGAAAACCAAAAGCTCTCGTCTTGGGAGTAAGTTGCATGCAGGGCTTTCTCTCCTGATACACTAAATTTCCTGAGAACAAAGTTCAGATTGGACAAATCTCTCCATTATTGGTTGGTATAACTCTTTTTTTTGTTTTGTTTTTTTGTTTTGTTTTTTGAGACAGGGTTTCTCTGTGCAGCCCTGGCTGTCCTGGAACTCACTCTGTAGACCAGGCTAGCCTCGAACTCAGAAATCTGCCTGCCTCTGCCTCCCAAGTGCTGGGATTAAAGGCGTACGCCACCACCGCCCAGCTGATTGTGGAGACTTTTGAAAATCATGAGTTGGGTGGGCATGGTAGTTCATGTCAGTAATCTTGGCACTTTGGTGACTGAAGGAGAAGTGTGAGTTCAAGATCAACCTGACCTATACAGGGTGACCTTGCCCCCCAAAGCAGAGAAGTCAAGAGACTGGAGACTCTAGAGAATTTAGTCATAAATATAAGCATCTGGCCACAGTGTCTTTTTGAGACTCTTTTTGTTTTTATTTGTTTTCTTGTCTTTGGGACATGAAATAGTGGTTTGACTGAGAAATGTCTCCATGGGTTCAGGCAGCTGGATGATTGGCTCCAAGATGGTGATGTTGTTTAGGGAGGCTATGGGAAGGTGCAGCCTTGTCGAAGGAAGTTCATCACTGGGAGCAGACCTTAAAAGTTTCCAGCCTTGCCTCATTTCCAGATTACTTTCTGCTTGGTGTTTGTGGTTGAAGATGTGGTTTCTCAGCTTCCTACTGAAGCTGCCTGCTGCCATCCTTCGAGAACTATATGCAAAGAAAAAAACAAAACTATTCTCCCATGTGCCATTGCTGGTCCTGTTCTGTTTTATCCCATCAAAGAGAAGAGTAACTAATATGCAGGGTCTCACTCTAAGGTCCAGGCTAGACTCAATCAAAATAGTCTTCCTAAAAAAAAAAAAAAAAAAAATAGTCTTCCTGCTTCGGTCTCCTAAATTCTGGGATTACCTTAATGTTTCCTTAAGATACTACTTAACCAGAGCTTCCCATTAAGAGCAGTATCTAGAACCTTGATGCGTATTGTCAAAGTTTCTGTATGTGAAGTGTTCTTGGATCTTGGAGCCCTTCAAAAATCCCCAACTGCAATTCCTAAATATAGGGAGACACAGAAATTAAACACACTTCTCTTTTTTTTTTTTTTTTTTCGTTTTTCGAAACAGAGTTTCTCTGTATAGCCCTGGCTGTCCTGGAACTCACTCTGTAGACCAGGCTGGCCTCGAACTTAGAAATCCGCCTGCCTCTGCCTCCCAAGTGCTGGGATTACAAGCGTGCGCCACCACCGCCCGGCCACACTTCTCTTTTTTTGTCCAATTTCTCAAATAGATGATACTGCTTAAAGTAGCCATGTACGATGCCATTACAGTGTATTCCATATTTATTACACAATTGATGAGAAAAACAACTTTTAGCACAAGAATGCCAGTTTATTCCCCTCCCCACTTTTTGGACACATGAACACAAAATATCCCTGCAGGCCAAAAAAAAACAAAACAAAAAACAAAACCCCAAACCAAAACCAATAACAATAACAAAACCCTCTGCAAAATTTAAACAACCGTTATCTTATCTCATATAGGGATACAAACCCTTCCTTAATAGCTTAGAGAAAGTACCTCGTATCACTGGAGGCAAACATCCAGTCCAAATTAATAAAATACATTTTAGAACATTACAAGTCTAATCATATAGAAACAGAAACCATACCATTAGTCAGATGAACAAACACAAACATTTTCAGCCTGTAGACACAGAAAGAATATGAATGTGTCTATAGGAAGGGATAAGAAAACGGTTGACCAATAAAGGTCTTCCCTTTAATTCTTGGAGTTGAAGCAGTATTAATATGATGCCCTTAACCTCTGCTTTCTTAAAATGAAAGCAGAGCAGCCACCTTGCTACTGAGCAAGAAAATCTTAAAAGCATATCCATGGAGCGTAACCACGGTGGCAAAGAGAGGGTGAGGTGAGCCTGGTTAAAAGAGTGCACTGCCCTTTTCCATGGGAAGGAATAGGTAGCTGAGCCAGGTGGGTAGGCGTTGATATAGGATATGGGCTGGACCCCAGATCCTAAGATACAGACCATTTAGAACATGCCTGCTTGTAAATCATCACCTTTGGAAGCAGTACATAGAATTTACAGTAAGAATGGATGTGGTTCGCCTGCCCAGAGCGCTAGCTGCATCAGGGCAGCTGCTTCCCTTTATAAACACCTCAGGATTCAACAACTAACAACAATGAAACATAATTGGCTCAACATTTGGGTCTTTCCCGTTCTTAATGCCCTGTGCTCCCTAGCCCCAAATTGTTGTTCTTTAGAGTTGCTACACCAAAATCTTCCATACTACATGACAGTACCTAAATAGGCCGTGTTTAAAAGAACCAAACAGCCTAACACTACTTCTAGAGAATGCACACCTCCCTTTGATTGACACATGCATAACAATTCAGTCAGTTTTGAGGGGGTTACCTATTTGAATTGCCAACCCTAGTTAAATTAAAACTATGCATTCAGGTTTGCTTGCAATGGTATAATTGCAGTGATCACCTCCTGACATTCACCCCTCAGTTCTCCCCCAGTAATCCTAACTCTTCCCTATTTCTTTCCACTTGTCCAGAACAACAGCACCACACCCTTATTGGTACTGCAAAAGTCGGTCTCCTGGCTTTTCCTCCAGCTCCACACTGATTCATCCCAGCATACTAGGATTGACAGTGGTGTTTCAGGAATATTGTTCATGGGTAAACCTAGAACCCACTTGCAGAAACGTGGATTGAGGCTTCTGGGCACACAGCTTGCTCACTGTCCCATCATGCTGGAAGATGGAAGCATTTCTTCTGTGCGTTGTTAACAAGCGAGCCCTAGGCACTCCAGTACAGGTATGGTGCCCTCTGGCTAACTGCCAGCCACCAAGAATTCTTCACATCACAGGCTCCAGGAAAGCTTCCTTTTTTTTTTTTTTTTTTTTTTCCTTCTCCTCTTGGGTCCAGAGTGGCTGTGCTGCAGAGTATTTTCTATGCTTTCTCTGAACAGGTGTGAATAAAAGTGGCAGTCAGTCATTCAGCAACATGTCCTGATTTGTATTATCCAAGTGAGGTATTTGCAAAAAAGGAAAACCTTAGAGAACGGACATCTGGTGTCTCTCCACTCCTATGTTGTGTGCTTCAGCCACAGGACTTGCTTCTTCCTTCTATGTGCAGAGATTAGGGAGGTCTGCACCCATCTTCATGTGTCATAGGATTAGATGGACATTATAAATTCTCCCGGAGACCAGTCTCAGCAAACACTGGTGGCACTGCTGAGCGACAGCACATGGAAACGGAAACATTAATGTATCTACACACTTGTTGAAGTGACTGAAGGGAAACGGTGCTTTCTATTGCTGGGATTACAAGAGGGCTCGTCTCATGGATCTGAACCTTGGACCAGCTAACGAGTTCACACCTTTACCCTCTGATCCAGTGTTCCCACCAATGGTTTCCACAGAGAGACTGCACATTTGATGTTAGCATATTGCATCTGTCTCTTCTCTAGCACCATCCTCAGCCTTGAGGAGTGAGGCTCCACATGGAGGCTCTGACCTTTCACTCCTTGCCCTTCCAGGTTAGTGGAAACCGTGGGTGGAACTACCTTGACTATGTAGCACTTGTCCTTTACAAAGTATTATCTACACTAAATACAGAACACAGTTTCCTATGTCCTAACTGATACTTGCTTTACATCAACTTCCTTTGTTTGGACAAGAAAAGGAGTCCTATCTTCCTGTGAGGGAATCCAGAATCTATTACAGAAAAAGAAAAAAAAAATCAACTTCTTCTACAGAGTTTTAGTTGAAAAAGAGAAAGGCAAAGCCACCAAGAACACTCCAGGCTGTCCTGTAAGCAGCTATGTGTGCAACCTTGAATCCCAGGGAAACTAGTTTTTTTACTGGCTGGTACTTTCTTTTCAAGTGCAGTACCTCTCAATGTGCCTTATACATCAGCAAAGCCTAACCAATCAGAAAGCATCCTGGTTCCAGCTTTTTTTTTTAAAGTGACAGGACACTGACTATAAAATAGGTTTTGTTTTTAAAAAACAATTATTTAAAAGGACGTGGAAATCTGTGTCTTTATAAACTGGTTTCAGAATATTCCAGTTATGATATATAAGAAATAGTTGATAAAATCATACTGAAATTTCATCTAGAAAACTATGTCAGAAGGAGAAAGGGCAGGGGCCTTAAAAATGCTTATTGCCAAAGTTAACATTCTATGAGAGAAGTTTAAAGATCGTTCTGATCTAACACACCATACAGCAGCATAAAATGGGCACTTTTGAAGACGTGGAAAAATACTAAAAGCTAATTCTCTTTTTCCAAATATGGAGAACATGGTTTTTTTTTTTTTTTTTTTTGTTTTTTTTTTTTTTTTTTTTTTTTTACCATGGCAGTGTTATCTGTCCCTGTGACACGCATCACATTTGCTTATGTCACAGATTCACAAAAGCCAGCCAAGTAAGGGAACTGCCTGTTCGAATCTGCAGCCAAATACAGTGCAATTGCCAGGCAGCCTGTACTCCACAGCGCAGGCCCGGAGAGATCAGTAAGATAAAGCAGTGAAGGTAACAAGAGTTCTGTAAAACTTTCAAAAGTTAATGCTCCTTAAAGGCATTTACAGTGGCAAAGTCAGAAATCTTTGTTAAGAAGTCTATGGACCCATTCAATTAAAAAGTTACATGGAAATGATACAGGTTGTTTGGTTTCTCTCTCCCACTTATGCATTCCATTCAACGAACACAGAAAAAAGGGAAATACTCCTCTTATAAGACTAGCTGCGGTGAATACCACAGCTAGCAAAACAGTCCATAGAAACCTTTCTTGGAAGGTCCTTTAGAAAGTCAAGGCTGATCAGCCTTCGCACATTGAGGTAAAAAATTCTGCCCAGTGCATCAGAAAACATAATCTATGAGTATCTATTTCTTTAAAAAAAAAAAAAAAACTGGCTCAATTTTGTTGATGCATCAGATGGGGCAGCAGAGTACAGAGTCAGTGCAACCATTCTGAGCTGCTGGTAGGGACCACCTGAAATCACTGTGGCACTAAGAGAGGCAGTAGGCATCTGAGACATTTTGAGGCTGTGTGGGATGCCAAATTGGTTGAGTCCTTTTCCAAGACTCTCAGGCAAAATACATAGTGTGCTGGGTATCGTGGTGGATCTGCACAGCCTTAGCCAAGGCCTGAGGATCCCGGCCGTTGCTCTGTCCTGACACGTGACTGCCTTCGGCACTATAATGAGAACAAAACAAGGAACCAGGCATTAGCAGAAGACTACTTGAAACTTCAGAGTTTCTTTTTTTTTTTTCTTTTCTTTTCTTTCTTTTTTTTTTTTTTTTTTTGGTTTTTCGAGACAGGGTTTCTCTGTGTAGCCCTGGCAGTCCTGGAACTCACTCTGTAGACCAGGCTGTCCTCAAACTCAGAAATCCACCTGTCTCTGCCTCCCAAGTGCTGGGATTAAAGGCGTGCGCCACCACCGCCCGGCGAAACTTCAGAGTTTCAAATAGCACAAACAGTCTTGTATTCAAGAACATCTTGGCTCAACCCTGGGCTACTCAAACCATTTATGTGTCCTTAGACACTTTTGTCAACTGAATATAGTAACCTTATTTAATGTATGGTTGCAATAATTACATAATGTTCACAGAAATCAAGTGTTTGACAGCACCTATGTAAGGACTTCACTGCCCCTCTGTCTGATCGGTTTCTACTCATTCCTCAAGCTTCAATGACAAGTTATGTCCCTTTTAGAAACTTCTCTGACTTCAAAGTCCAGGTCAGGGTCACCTAGAATATGTTTTCACAGAATACTATGCTTTTCTTTTACAGTACCAGACTCAACGGAAATAAAATTGTTAATTGGGAAATTTCTAGGTATTCTCAGGTATTCTTTACTGGAATGAAATCTTCGAGAAAAAGAGTATCCTTCTCCTCCCCTTCTTTCTCCTTCTCCTTTTTTTTTTCTTTTGAGATAGGATCTTACTATGTAGATTTCACTGGCCTCAAGCTCATAGAGATCCCTTGTCTTTGATGTGTGTACCGCCATGCCTGGCTTAACCTTATTCCTACTTGCTAACACTGTTTCCTACATTAATGAGTCTATGTCCTAGCTGAGTGCTCACAAGTTCTAAACAAACGTCGTGGGGTATCCTGTGCCACAGGGTCTGGCAAATCATCCCTTTTTAAGTGCTGAGGATTGTCTCTGGGGCTTCATGTGCTGAGCACTGTGCTCACCGTGGAGCCACACCCTTGGCCCCCCAACTTTTCCCTTTGAATGCTGATGTTACCCTAGTCATCTCTGACTTCACCCTCTGCCCCTTCACTCACAGCACTCCAGCCCAGGGACAGCTTTTACATTTAGCAAAGACAATCTTGCTCCGACACAGTTTTCCACCCTATGCCTGCTAGTCCCTTTTAATGTGTTCCAGCCAAAGAAAACTAACTACTGTCCAAAAATGTCACTTGCTCTCTCTCCTTTATGTCTACTGTCCCCCTGCCTGGAAAAGCCTCTTTCCTTTGTAGAGCTAAGCCCTGCCCACCCAGCTATAAAGTCCTCTAGCGACCTTTCCTCTGGTTTCCCACTGCATGGTTATCTACAATGAGTCAGACTACTTGTCAGCTTTACACTCACCTTTATTACCTCCATACTGAAACAGAAAATCCCTACAGGCAAGGAACATGGCTTACTAATCTCACCATTTTCTAGTACCTAGCACAGCACTAGGCATACAATACCAAATAACTGTATTGCATGAATGAGTGCACATTAAATAATGCAAAGTGTAAAGTCACAGCTGGGCGCTTTCTGCAATAGTGTATTTTTCAATCCCTTACAGAAATAGACTTGCAATGGAATGTCTACTATTTAGCAACTGAATTGAGACTTGGGGAAGAGCCCAGAAACTGCTACACTTCACAAATGGCCATTTGGGAAAGAAAATTAATGCAAAGAGCTTGTTTAGGCATTTATTAGTAGCTCAGTAACAGGTCAAAATGTCTGAGTCTCTAGAGTCCCTATCTGTAATAAAGATAGTCACCGTTCCTCTTTCCCCATAAGACCTGACTTACTCTGGTTAATTCTGGATTGTACTGGAAATAGAATGAGCTAGGTAGGACTCCTTCATGCATGAAGAGGAATGCATAGTCTGTGACTACTCTGACTAGGGCCAGGGTGCTCTGCCCACCACCTTTTGAGGCTCCTGGGACCTCAGCAGAACTGAACTGCAGTTAGTTCTATGTGAAAACCGCAGGCCGCTCCGGATGAGACTGTTAGAGACACAAGTTTAAACAAGCTTGAGCACTTCTTGGACCAGAAGTCACATTCAAAGCTCTCAAAGCCTCATGCAGTTTTAACTGTTCCTTGCAGGTTAAACCTTAAAAGGGGGTTTACATCTTTAAAGGGTTTTTCTGTATCGCTTGTTTTTAAAAACATGCTTCCACAACAGGAAGAGATTTTTATTGAGGAACTTGCCTGTCATGATCTTTATCCACCAAATGATACCTTGCTCGGAACGCTACAAGCCGGGCATAATATGCAGGGGCAGGAATGGAGACTGAGCGTGTGCACCTCACGTAGGTGTGACAGAGCTGGTAAGTCAGTAGCTGTAGTTCATCTGCAGTGAAGCAGTTGTCATCCCACAAGACCTGGTAATGTGAAGGACGGCTGGTTCCCTGGAAGGAGAGTTTTAGGTTAATGTGTTTCTAGCAGGACTTGGCTTCCTAACAGACACGAGGAATTGAAATCTAATTATTAAGCTCAACAGTATTTCCGCCTTACCCCATACCTACAAGTAGATCTCTGCATAGCAGTCCTGAAGCAAAGCAGTTAACAAAGCTGGGCACAGCATTTGATGACAAGTCTACTGGAGCTAGCTGCTGAGCCTGCAGATATTTTCCTATCAGGTCAAAGATCTGGACCAGTTTCCAAATTACCTGAATTCCTGCATGACTACAGAGGTAAAAGTCAAACTCAGATGGCTGTGTGATGGTGCTGTCCACCGTAGTGCCTGCTGGGACATTGCCACTTTTCCCCACCTGTTAAAAGATATAATTTTTAAGAATACAATTAACTATCTGAGTAACAAGCTGGTTTAAGGGTACTTCTTTCCTTTAACACATTAATTGATAATAAGTTAGTGGACTGCTGTTATGTGAAGTCTCAAAACTAGATTAATTCAAGATGTTAAGCCAGACATGGTGATTCATACCTGTAATCTCATCATTTGGGAAGCCGAGGCAGGAGGACTGTTCTGAGTTCAAGGTCAGCAAGGTCACCTTGGGCTACAGTGTGAGACCCTGTCTCCAACTAAAATTAAAAAAAAAAAAAAAGTTGAGTCCCTTGGTAACTTTTTCTTAGCCCAAATCTTACCCTAAAGCATATTTTCAGACAAGTCTCCAGAGCCTTTTTGGGGAATCCACATAATAACTTTATCTATAGCTTTATGCATCAGTATTGCCACATGTTTATAGATGACATTCTATATTCAGAGAAGGGACAAACAGCACTGAAGGAATAGAAATGTAGCTCAGCTATAGAGTGCTTGCTTAGCGTGAACAAGAGGAAGACCCTGGGTTCAATCCTCAGCACTGCAACAAAGAAAAAAAGACAAATAAACTTTCCCAGAAAAAATGACCTCCATTCCTCACCTGAGAGAGAAAAAGAACCCCCGACACACACACAGCTTTCAGTAAAAGACAAGATGAAGGTCTTCAAACTGGTTCACCAGGTTCAACAAGTATATGTATATGTGTGTGCGTGTGCGTGTGCGTGTGCGTGTATGTGTATGTATATGTATATACGTTCTGGAAGATGATTATCGGAAGCCTCTGCTGACATGGAGGTTGAGAAGATAGTTCAGAGCCAGGCCAGTACCCACAGCCTTGAACAGAGCAGAATATCTCTGTGTCTCAATCCAATCATCCCTAAAATCAGGTCATGACCTCTTGCATTTCTAAAACCCTAAGGTTCTGGAAAGGGGAATGAAGCACTCCAGAAATGCACCAAACAGCAACGAATTAAATTTTGTCTCTGTCTGCTTTGCTATGAGAAAGTTTAATAGAACAGAGGCATATGTTTCCACGGGGTTTATTTGACTCCTAAATACTATTCCTTCTGGCTGTGAATCACATAACAATGCATAGAAGAACTTGGAGTACTGAGCATTCTTCCTTCAAATTCATATCAAGCTTGTGTATCTAGCTAAACCAGAGAAAGTGTAACTGAGGTACAGTAATTCCTGCTTATCTCAAGTTATGGCTTCAGTTACTTGTGGTCAGCCATAGCTCAAAATATTGGCACAGTGCAATGGGAAACGGAGAGAGATACTTTGAGAGAGACAATGGCACATGTTGCTTTTGTTACCTCTGTGTTTATTTTTTGAGACAAGATCTGTTATATTGTTTAGGATGGCCTGCATTTAGTAGTATGGGTGATCTTGAACTCACAGTTCTTTTATCTCAGTCTCCTGAGTGCTAAGGTTACAGGTTTAAGATGCCATGTTTGATTCACATAACTTTATTACAGTTTATGGCTTTCTTTTATTATTATTGATCTTTACTATGCCTAATTTATAGTTTAAATGCCACAACAGGCATGCATGTTTAGGAGAAAGTGTGTGTGTGGTGTGTGTGTATATGTCGTTTATGTGTGTAGATATGTATGCTGTATATGTTGTGTATGTGTGTTGTATATGTTGTACGTGTGTATGTTGTATATATGTATTATATATGTATGTTGTTCATGTGTGGTGTGGTGTATGTTTGTTGTGCATGTGTGTTATGCATGTTGTATGTGTATATATATGTTGTGTGTGTATGTGTTATGTGCAGTGGTATGTGGTGTTGTATATTTGTTGTGTGTATATGTTGTATATGTATTATGTATACGTGTATTATGTGTATGTGTTGTGTGTATGTATTATGTGCAGTGTATGTGTGTATGTGTGTGTTTGTGGTGTGTGTGTGCATGTGTGTGTTTCAGGCATCCACTAGGGAGTCTTAAGTCTTGAAGACTTTTGCATTAAATCACAGTTATAAGGCTTTTTTAGAGGGAGAAATGTAGCTCAGAGGATAGCACATGCCTGCCACAGGTGAGGCTATGGCTTCAGAGTCTATCAACACACACACACACACACACACACACACAGAAGCTTTTCTAATGTGTAATTTCTCAAAACCACTGTTTAATCGGGTATGATATTTAAGAAGACAATAGAATAGGTGGTGTTTCCAAACTTATTTAACCACAGAACCTCTTTTTAAACAATCTCTAGGTATGTCTAGTGGTAGTGGTACATGGCTTCAATTCCAGCACTTAGGAGGCAGAGGCAGGTAGATCTTTGAGTTTGAGGGTAGCCTGGTCTACAGAGTGAGTTCCAGGATAGCAAGGGATACACAGTGAGGCCCTGTTTTGAAAAACAAAACAGAAACAAAACAAAAAAAAAATCCAAAGACAAAATAACAACAAAAACAAACTCTAGGGTTCTACAGATGAAAACCTAAAGCTGTGTCTGTATGATGCCTGGGGGTGGGGGTGGGGTGGGGGGATGGAAACCAGACACACTGAACTCAACAAGTATTACCTGAGTACTCAAGCTAGGCTTTGCGAATGTTGAGTCTAAGAGCCAAGGGCAGAATAGATGAATGAATGAACTTCCACAACACAAGCTCTTTGGTGCAAAGTGATACAGGTAAAAGCACTAGAATTGCTGGTAGGGAGGGAGGAATCACACTATGTCTTATAGCTTTTGTTTGTTTGTTTGTTTTTGGTTTTTCGAGACAGGGTTTCTCTGTGTAGCCCTGGCTGTCTTGGAACTCACTCTGTAGACCAGGCTGGCCTTGAACTCAGAAATCCGCCTGCCTCTGCCTCCCAGGTGCTGGGATTAAAGGTGTGCGCCACCACCGCCCGGCTCTTATAGCTTAAGGAGGAATTGCAAAGGAGGGAGAAGCCTGGGATGGTAGCACACATCATAACTCTCAGCATTCAGGAGGCTAAGGCATGAAGGTTGCAAGTTTGAGGCCATCTTGAGTACACAACAAAACGCTGTCTCTAAATAAATGAATAAATAAAATGGGGTGACGTCTGCAAACACTAGATGCACCCTGAGCCCAGGAACACATGAATAAATTGTAGCTTGTCTATATTCATGTCTGAACTCAGCAAAGGGTGACACTTCAATATACTATACCAAATAAGAAAAGCCAAACTCAAAAGCTGCACGTTTCTATTCATATTCATATGGCACCCTGCAAGGGGCAAAATCATAATCGAGAAATTCCTATTATTGCTGCCAAAAGTTAAGGTCAAAAAAATGTTGAGCACAAAAGTGACACCAACCTGTGAGCCTGGCCAATCAGGAAATGGAAGTGGGAGGCTCTCAAAGTTAAGGATTGCTCAGGCTACAGAGTGACTTCAAGATCAACCCAGGTAAATTAGTAAGACCCTGTTTCAAAATAAAAGGTAAAAGGGGGCTGGGGATATGGCTGAGTGACAGACATTTGTTATATGTGTCAGACCCTAGATTCAATGACCAACACCATTAAAAAAGATTTGGTGTAAACAGAACTATACGAATTAGTCTGAACCATAAAGTCCAACTGTTATCTAAAAAGGCACTGGTAGTATACCTTAAATAACAACAAAAAGGACTGGGATGGGTGTGCTCATTCCAGACAAAGGAATGCAGTGGGAATGGGAGACACAGTGAGGACACAGTGGAAGAAGAAATTAGTGTGTTGTTTTGGCTCCCTGGGGAAAACATGAAGGAGCAAAGCAAGGTGTCTCATAAGCAATGGAGAACACGTGGAGACTTCTGAGCAGCCAGGTGTGTTTTACAGCCCAACCCTTGACAGCAGGATGAAGGAGCAATGGCAACAGAGACTGCTGTGACTCTCCTGCCTAGGGTAGTGGAAACACTTCAGGTCAGAGAGATTTGGGGGCACAACTCAGGAGATTCTTTGGCAAACTGGACATGGCAGGACAATAAGGCAGGAGAAGAATTTAAAAATGACTCTGGCACTTGGGAGGCAGAGGCAGGCGGATTTCTGAGTTCGAGAGTTTGAAGCTAGCCTGGTCTACAGAGTGAGTTCCAGGACAGCCAGGGCTACACAGAGAAACCCTGTCTCAAAAAACCAAAACCAAAAAAAAAAAAAAAAAAAGACTCTGAAGTTTGTAGTTTGTAGTTTGGATAATGTAAAACACAGTGATGGCAAGCAACAGAATCTACAGAGAAGTAGGAGAGGTTTTCGATGGGGATTAAGCAATAAGTGGGAGGTTTAGACGTGTTTTGCTTGACATGCCTATGGTAGACTATATCACTGATGCCAAATATTTCTGTGCCCTTCCCTGGGGAAGATTATAAAGTTCCACCCAGTTATCACAGGAGTGGCCATGTAAATTGCTTTGACAATAAAATGTGTTACTTCTGGGCAGAAGCCTTAAGAGCCAGTACTCAGCTTGTCTTTTCTTTTCTCCCTTCTGTTACATTGACTGGCAAGGTTCCAGATAGACTCTGTCAGCCTAGGTTCCAAAAGGAGGACAACAGGGTCACAGCTGCAGCGGGGCCATGGTGAATGTGTACTATGAGCAAGAAATGAATCGTTGTAAGACACAGAGATGGGCTGTTGTGATCACCACTACACAGCAGGGTTTGTACAGACTGATACAATGCTCACAGAACATCTAAGGGAAAATATCTGGTAGATAATTCAAAGTACAAATCAGGAGTTGGACAGAACAGTATACGGTAGGAATATGGATTTGGTGTTGATGAGCAAGTAAGCCTAGAAAAGTGGATGAGGTCAAACTGAGGACAGGAAGAAGTCAGGGAGGGGCTGGAGAGACGGGTCTGTGGTTAAGAGCATTGGTCTTTCAGTGGATCTGGGTTTGATTCCCAGAAACCATACTCCTCACAAACATCTGTAACTCCAGATCTGCACCCAGATCTGCACCCCACCAAGCCCTGTGGGTATCTGACCTCTGTGGGTATCAGGCATGAATGTGGTCCACATACATACATGAAGCAAAACACTCATACACATACAATAAGGTAAACAAATCTAATTTTCTTTTAAGTAAAGGGAATCTGACTGCAGAGGCAGGTAGGAAGCTAAAGCCAGAGAAGGCTGTGGGTCTTAACTGTGGCCAAGAGGTCACTGTGGGAATCTGACATGGTTGGAGACAAGGCACAGAGGCACGATTTTAGTTCTCTCTTCAACTCCTACTTCCTGGAAATCCCAGTATGAAGTCTGATGTGAGGGAACAGACAGCATGTCAAGTGATTGTTCTTCTAAAAGGGAATTTATAAAAGGAAAAAAAGAAAAGGTAGCCAGTGGGAGGGAGAGCACAGTTATCAAATGTTGATTGGAGGAACTGAGGAAGAACTGAACAACATCTGGAACACAAGAAGGCCATGGAATAAGGAAGACGAGGGCCTGTGAACTGGCTCAGAGGCTGATGACCTGCATTCCATCTCAGGAACCTAGATATAAGTTGTCCTTTGACCTACTCACACACATACATACACAGGACATTAATTAGTGAGGCAGAAAGAACTGAGTGGAAGGCACAGATGGGGAGATGAGCCTGAGATGTGAGGGAGGAGATAAGTGAGGCAACTGAGATAATCCATGCCTTCCAGGTCCCAGTTTCCCAGACAGCAGAGGTAGGGTTCTGAAGGTAGCTATGCCCACAACTACACTGTAGAAGGTAGGTCTTTGTTATCATTAAGACATGGATAGGACTTTAAAAAAAAAAAAAAACACTTAATGGGGAATAGAACAATGAGAAAAAAATCACAACATTTAAGGTTTAAGATTTGCTCTCATGTGTTTATAACATGGTTCATGACTGAATAAATGATCTGTTCAGCCAGCAACTCCTCAGCCAGAGAGTCGAAGCAAAGCAAATGAGCAAGTCGATGTATTTGGAGTTGGAGGCAAGCAAGAGAACTGGAGATGTTGGTCAGGGTATAAAGTAAACAAAAGAACTGAAACATCAATCCTGAATGATGATAAAGAACAGAGCTATAGGATAGAAAGATAATTCAGGGTCTGTCAATAACTCAGTGGTAAACTGCTTCCTAATCTATCTGAGGTCCTGATAGTTCCATTCCCAGCACTGAGAGTAGGGGTGAAATAATCCAGGTCCTGGATTTCCTCTCCACTCCACAGAAAATACATGGACAGCAAGTTTACACTGGGACAGAGAGGAAACCATGGCAATACAAGAGAGGTGGCAGGATATTTTCTGCTTCAATTTCAAGCAAGCATTCAGATGATCTATATTAGCAAAGTCTAAGAATTCACTGAGTCAGAGCTAGAGTGTTCGAGGACAAAGATTTAATGTAAACTGGCTTGCAGACTTGGGAACGATAGGGAAAAGAACTCTGCTCTCCTGTAACTCAGAAACCAAAACCAAACATCTAGCTCCTGGAAAAGAGACAACTTTCGTCCTGAAAGACAATGGGAGGAGCCAGCAAGCTTCTATGATCCAGCAGCAGAACAGATCTGGTCCTTCCTAGGCCTGAGGGAAAGCAGGACTGCACAGATGAAACAGTACCATAAAAAAGTGTCCAAAAAGCGGCAATCCAATATTGTACACTGGGAACTTACTCCCTTTAAACATAAATATTAAATCATAAATAAAATAAATAGAAATGATTTTTATCAAGTGCTGGTAATTATGCTCCAAATTAACACTCATTTATTAATTTAATCTTTACCATACCTCTTGAAATAGGTTCTATTCCTTTTTTGTGTGTGTTTTGTTTTTTTCAGACAGGGCCTCATGTGGCCTAAGCAAGCCTTGGATGTTCTATGTCACTGAAGATATGTACCAAGGATCTGAATGCAGGGCTTCGTGTGTGCTAGCTACCTCTCCTGCACTTGATCTTTCTTTGGAGACAGGGTAACTCAGGCTAGCCTGCAACTCATGATCTTCTTGTTTTACCCTCCCAACTGGAACTACAGCTGTATAACCATGCCTAGATGTTGTTCATGATCATATTTCATAGGTAAGAATACAAATGTTCAGCCGGGTGGTGGTGGCGCACGCCTTTAATCCCAGCACTTGGGAGGCAGAGGCAGGTGGATTTCTGAGTTCGAGGCCAGCCTGGTCTACAGAGTGAGTTCCAGGACAGCCAGGGCTACACAGAGAAACCCTGTCTCGAAAAAAAAAAAAAAAAAAGAAAAGAAGGTCATTTTAAATGAAGATTTCACCTAACCTATCTAGCCTTCTGAGCATCATAGCTTAGCAGTAGAGCATACCATAGACTGCCTACTGTTTACTCATGTGATGGTGGCTACATTATTAATGCGCAGCTACTACTGAACACAGCAGGCTGATTTCATAGTAACATAAAACTGACGACTCTAAAATCTGGAGCTGGAGCAATGGCTCAGCAGTTCAGAACATGTGCTTCATAATCCTGAGGGCTGATGTTCCAGCAAATGCCTGTAATGCTAGGTCTGAAGTGGGACCAAGGCAGGAAGAACACTGAGGCTCACTGGCTTCTAGTCTAGCCAAGAAAATGCAGGCCCCAGGGCTGGAGAGATGGCTCAGCAGTTAAGAGCACTGACTGCTTTTCCAGAGGTCCTGAGTTCAATTCCCAGCAACCACATGGTGGCTCACAACCATCTGGAATGGGATCTGATGCCCTCTTCTGGTGTGTCTAAGAGAGCGACAGCATACAGTGTATTCATATACATAAAATAAATACATCATTTAAAAAAAGAAAAGAAAGGAAAATGCAGGCCCCAGGCTCAGGGAAGACCCTCCCTCAAATGAATAAGCAGAGAATAGCAGAGGGGGCCACCTGATGCCCTCTTTTGGCCTCTGCATGCATGTACAGATGCACACACCTACACACATTCACATGCACACACACACACAAATAGGTAAGTAAATACATACACACATACATACACATATACATGCATGCATACATATACACACATATATATATATACATACATAAATGAAATTTTTTAAGTCAAATTACTATAAATTTTCATTGTGACTTACAGAAGTCTCTTGCCTGTGATTAGTGAGTATGATGTCATAATTCTTCCAAGTAGATACCCCAGTAATTCCCTAAACTGATATAAAATCACCAAAGTGAGTCTGCTTTATACCCTAGAACTATCACTCATGCATCAGCAGTAAAAAGCAACAAAAGCCACACACACACTGTGAAACTCTGGGTTCAGTCTCCAACAACACACACACACACACCATCCCACTTTGAAGTTGCCTGTTATACTCTAATGTACTTGACAACTTTCTAACCAGCACCCATCAATACTATACACAAACAACTTCTGATAGCTAATACTGACTGCCAACTTGACAGGATCTAGAATCATTTGTCTAGGAGACAAATCTCTGGACATAAATGTGGGAAGTTTCTAGAGTAAGTTAAATTTTGGTTTTGACTTGTTATTTGAGACAGGGTCTTTTTATATATCCCTGACTGTCCTGGAACTCCCTACATAAATCAGAATATCCCTGAACTCATAAAGATCCACCTGCCTCTACCTCCCAAGACCTGGAATTAAAGGTGTGCACCATGCTCAGTTTCTGGATTAGGTTAACCCATGTGGGAAGACCCACCCTAATTGTGACTAACACCAATCACATGGGCTGGGCTGTGAGACAGACTAAAACAAAGAAAGTGAACTGAGCACTCATTGACTGTTGACTGTGATGTAATAGAACCAGCTGCCTGGAGCTCCTGACATCATGACTTCCCGGTCAGGATAGAGTGTACCCTCAAACTGTAAACCAAAGTAAAGCTTTTGTCAGGTGTTTTTTTTTACAGTGATAACAAAAGTTAATAATCTACAACTCTCCAATGCCCTCTCCAAAACTCTAGAAACCAGCATTTCTGTTACACAAGAGAAACATTCATGCTTAACACTTGTGCTATGTAGAACTGGTCATCTAAATTCAACTGCGGTTAATATATTTATTGAATTATTATTAGAACAGGAGTTTTAGAGAATACTGTAAACATCTACTCAAAACCACATTTACTTGCCACACAGTCTGATGAGGAAGCTTACAGCACATCTTCTTACCCTTTCTGTTTTATCTGCACAGAAGAGTCGTGTGTGATGCCTCTTTTGTACCACAATGTAGGTTATTCCTGGCCGATAGTCTTCCTCCAAGCTTATACATGCCTTTCGAATTGCTATTAGCTCCGGCCAAGCTACCTAGGAAACAGAAGGGGAATTTTGTTTCATGGAGAACTTGCCTAGAATCCCTCAGGTCTCAGGTCTCCAGTGGCAGGTAGGAGGGTGCTCTGACAGTGCTGGTAGGATGGCACTGGGCTGATGGCACCTGTTTCATCTGTCCCTCGGACACCCCTCCACGGTAGTAGATGATCCGAGTGGGCTTGAAGCGTGTGGACTTATAGAACTGAATCAGCAGCTCCCGAGCCATGCTCGTCAGGTCCTGTACGACCTCCTGACTGTAGAGGAGCTCCTGGGCAATCTCCTGTCGCGATGTCTGCACCCGGACCGTGGCACAGTACCGGCTGGGATGGCCATCCATGCTGCCCACCACGGCCGCAATAGAAGGCTTCTTCCCATCCCCAGCAGGCGGATGAGTGACATCTGCTCCCAGGAAGATGACAGGCTGCTGGAACACTGAGGGCCTGTCCGAATTTAAGAAGACAGTGTCACTCAATGAGTCTAGAAAAATATATCACCAGCGATAACTGCAGGTATAGTCTTAGAAATCGAGGACCCTGTGCCCATTAGGAAAGAACATGAACCTTCCAAAAACCAACTTTAAGTTATGAAATTTAGAGAAGAGAATCAAATCCATTCTTTTCTGTTTTATACAGACTTATACTATATTTATTTATAATATATTCTCAAATTTTATATATAATATTAATCACTTAAACCATGTATTTTATTTATTTTTATTTGCATGTACACCCACATAAATATAATCTCGACAAGAGTAGGAATTTGGGGGCTGGAGAGATGACTCAGTGGTTAAGAGCATCTCCCAGAGGTCCTGAGTTCAACTCCTAGCAACCACATGGTGGCTCACAACCATCTATAATAGGATCTGATGCCCTCTTCTGGCATGCAGGTGCATATACAGATAGAGCACTCATACATAAAAGAAGTAAATAAATCTTAAAAAAAAAACTAGGAATTTTGTTATATCTTGGTCATTACTAGAATGTTGCTTTACTCATACTTGACATTTGATAAACATTTGTTGAAAATACAAATTCATTCAGTGTCCCAGTTCTTTTTTTTGTTTGTTTGTTTTTTTGAGACAGGGTTTCTCTGTGTAGCCCTGGCTGTCCTGGAACTCACGCTGTAGACCAGGCTGGCCTCGAACCCAGAAATCCACCTGCCTCTGCCTCCCAAGTGCTAGGATTAAAGGCATGCGCCACCACCGCCCAGCGCAGTTCTTTTATCTAAGAACAAAAATGAGAATTATATGGAAGATTTCAGCTTCACCTTCTGCCCAATATAGCAGTGGCCAAGGCTAAGACTACAGTTCTTAGTGTAACGTTTCACATCTAAGAGCTCATATAAAAATGGTATTTTGGAGTTGAAAGGCAGATGCTATTATCTTCATAGAGAAGGAACTGAGGACCAGCTATTTTAAAAATTCACATGGACAGCATTCCCCAAGTCTCTCAATCCTCACCAGTACTCTGTTGACCACAGTACCATTAATGTTTGGTTTCTCCAGAGCCAATCTAACAAGTTGAAACTTAAAAGCCTATCACTTGGGGTAGAAAGAACTCCATCTCATTAGGAATCTCTGAGGCCAGAGGATTTGGTTCAGTGATAGAGGGCCAATGTAGCGTCTGACACCCAGCAGCAGCACAACAAAGTGTTCCTTAAAAATCACTATTTAGAGCTGGACATGGTGATAGGCACTCCAGAAGCAGAGGCAGGAGGGTTACTACAAGTTTAAGGCAAGCCTGAAGTCAACGTAATTAATTTGAGACCAGCTAGGGCTTTATATGAGACCCTGTCTCAAAAAAAAAAAAAAACCCAAGTAATCAAAAAACAACAATAGCAAAGCAAATAACAACAATAACAAATTAAACAACAAAAATTAATTTATTTATCAGAGTAAGATACAAAATACAGCACAGATAACATAGTTGTAATACCTATATGCTATCAAAGACTTATAACCAGAAACCACATAAAACTGTGACTACAAATCAATAAAATTATCTCATAACTCAATATAAAAATGGGCAAAGAAGCTATGAAGAGAGGCATCTGTAGTTCCAGCTGCTCAGGCAGTTAAAACTGCTTTAGCCAGAAATTCAGAATCAGCCCAGGCCCTCCTTACCTCCCTTCCCTTCCTCCCCTTATCTTTCCTTTCCTCTTTGTAGTGTAGGAGACAAGTATGTGCTGGTACAATGCTAGGCAAGTGCTTATCACCAAACTACAGCCTCAGCCCTATAAAATGTGCTTCTTTATCACACCACTCCCTTCAATTCAGATGCAGATGTAGTAGCACACGCCTGTAATCTCAGCTACTTGTAAAACAAGATCCTTAAGCAGAGTCTCGCTGTGTAGCCCTGGCTATCCTGGAACTCACTAGGTAGACCAGGCTGGCCTTGAATTTATACAGATTCAGCTGGCTCCGCCTCCCAATTCCTTCGATTAAAAGTGTGCACTACCAAGCCTGGCAAGATTTGTTTTTTAATTGCATGTATGTGCCTGTATACGTTTATATGCACTACACGTATAGATGTTCTCAGAGGTTTCAGATTCCCTGGAGATAGAGTTACAGACAGTTGTGAGCTGCCTGATGTGGGTGCCTGGAACTGAACTTGGATCCTTTGCAAGAACAGCAGAGATCTTAACTGCTGAGCCATCTCTCCAACCAAGCCCTCCACTTTAAGATGAACCTGGACAATACAGAGAAATTCTGTCTCAAACAAACTAATAATAAATCAGAAGGTAGAGGTTCAAGGTCATCTTCAGTTTATTATCTCTATACCATTTTAGGCTACATGAAATTCTGAGATCCTATCCTAGAACAAAAAATAACCAGACAGACAAAAGAACTGAACTGGCTCCTTACAAAAGATGTCCCAGATTAACCTTAAACATGCTTATCATCATCAATCAGGGTAAAGCAAATTAAAATAATGATAAGATACTATTTCTTTTAATAATAAAAATGGCCAAAATTAAAAACACTGATACTGCCAAGTATTGATAATGGTATGGAACGACTAGAATTCTCAGTGGAGATGTAAACTGGAATAGACAGGTTGGAAAAATGCCTGACTGGATCTGTTAAGGCTAAATCTTTGTAGCTCTGTAACTCTGTATAATCCAGCAATTCCACACCTGGAGTCCCATACAAGAGAAACAATGCTTACATCTATCAATACTGTAGAACTGCACAATAAATATATAATATTAATCAAAGAGCAGACAAAATTATGTGATTTTTACCTACATAATAAAATAATCCATAACAATGAAAATTAATTAAGTTCAACAACGTTAAGTGAACTGCACACATACAATGTTAAGAAAAGGAAGATAAGCTGGACAGAATGGTGCACTCCCTTAGTCCCAACACTCTGAAGTCAGAGGCAGGCAGATCTCTGTGAGTTTAAGGCCAGCCTGATCTACAGAGTGGGTTTCAGGACAGCTAAAGCTACATTGTGACACCCTGTTTTGAAAAAAAGGAAAAAGAGAAGAAAAGGAAAAGGAAGACAAACAAAACAGAGCATACTGCCCTAGTGACTCCACTTACAGGAAGGCGACAGGTAAACAAATCTATATGACAGGTCAGAAGGACAGTTTCTTTCGGGGTTACCTGTTTGTAGGAAACTCAGGGTTTCCCATAAGAAGTAAGCACTAGACCAGTAAGCTACAGCCCTGGCCCTGGGAGTTAGCTCTGTAGTGAGTGACAAGAGAGAGCTTGATAGAGTCTTACTGGTGGTGGGTACATGTGTTTACATACATTACATGAGAAACAGCCATGGAGATTCATGTCTGGAATGTTTCGTTTATTTGCTTTGCACTGGTGGCAGTGGAACCCAAAGCCTTACACACACTTGGCCAGTGTTCTACCACTCAGCTACATCTCAGACCTTGGTTTTTATTTTATTTTTTTGTTATTGAGACATGGTCTCACTGTATAGCTTTGGCTAGCCCGGAGCTCACTATGTAGATAAGGCTGGTCTGGAACTCATTGGCCAGCCTCAGACTCTTGAGTGCTGGGATTAAAATATGTATTATCACACCTGGCAAATAAACCCTTGGGGGTTTTTGTTTTTATTTTGTTTATTTATTTATTTATTTATTTATTATTATTATTATTATTATTATTATTATTTTTGGTTTTTCGAGACAGAGTTTCTCTGTGTAGTTCTGGCTGTCCTGGAACTCACTCTGTAGACCAGACTGGCCTCGAACTCTCGAACTCAGAAATCCACCTGTCTCTGCTAAGACAAGACCTTTATATGTAGCCTAGACTGGCATAAAATATACTATCCTGCGATCCTCCGGCCTTATTTTCCCCTTAGGTACCATCATATCTGGCTGGAAAGTGTGCTCTTTATCATAAATCACATAATTTATATTTTAAATAAAAGTGGGAAAAAGAAGTCATAATCTTACCTTTGATGAGGCACAAGTACATTGTTAATTCCTCCAAGCTTTGCATTTATCTTCAGGCAAAGGTTGGAAAGGGTTTGGGGTGAGGTCTTCACAACATTTTTGACCTGTACACACTGTGTGGCCATACCTAGAAGGGTGTCTCCAACACGTTTCACCTCCGCTATAAAAATAAGTCAATAAATTAGCTCCCTTTAAAATGCTTAGTCACCTATTGCTATGAGTGAAGGGGAAAGTTCTGAACATTGAACATTTACGGCCTGCATGCAGGGCTGCATGAGTGTCAGGTGCCAGCACTTTTTTCTGCTAAACCCTCAGAGCAGCCTCTCCTTGTGTCCTAGGCTGCAGCTCTGAAAGCCAGCCCACTTCCTTTATCCTTCTGGTACAGTCTGTCAAGACTTGCTAGGTCCCCTGAGGTTTCTTATCCCTCAGAACTGGTCTGGTGAAAGAATTAATCTCCTAGCTCCGCCCTCCTCAGAGCACACACTGCCCTCTCAATTTTACTTTTCCCCTTAAACATTAGAGATAAATAGAAGGTGACAGAAGATAGAGAAGATAAGAAGCAGACAGAGAGGATTGGAGGTGTGATGAAGCTTGAGGGTTGGTGTGTGCTCTTACAGTTGGCCTCAGATGGTCACCAAGAGAAGAGCCTGTGTCACTCATCTCACAGCAGGTACAAACTTAGCCTATCTTCTCAAGGCAGCAGCGTCCTCACCCCCAGCTCCAGTCTACTTCCCCATTCTGATACTCCTAAGTGCTTCTCACTAGAATATTCTGCATCTTCCAGCTCCCTGGACCATGGACGGCCTACACCACAGTTCCAACTCCTACCATCTTGTCACCTCCTCCCACCAGGTTGGGTAAGGCTTGTTATATCCAGATGTAGAGAGAAAATCATGGTGACCAGCAAACAACCTTCTAAACAGTGCTTGTTCTACTAGGTTGGATCTTAGAGTGAGAAGGGTGTTGTTATATGGAACGGAGGCCACTGACTATTGAGAATAGACACAGAAGAAGAACAAGAAATGAATCTGGCTGAATGTGGTTCAGTTGATATAGTACTTCCCTACCATGAATGAAGCCCTGGGTTTAATCCCCAGTACCAACCACATAAGTCAGGTATAGAGTTACATTCCCAGCACTTGGGAGGTGAAAATAGGAGGATTCAATGTTCAAGGCCATTTCTATCAAATAATGAGCCTACATAAGATCTTGTGTCAACAAGAAAGAGGCAAGGGGTGGGGGAAGAAAAGAAGGAAAAGAAGAGAGTATCATCATACCCCAACCCCACCATTTTCCAATGCTGCAGATCAAATGTAGGACAGGGAGCTTGCTAAACAAAGTACTCCACCACTGAGCTACAGGCCTGTACACACTGAGCCTCTGTGCCTTAGACCACTATCAATGTACAGCTGGGGCTGTGGAATCACCTAGCTTATCCTGTCAAACCAAGGACTTGAAATCATCTCTCATTCAACATTAGTGTTTATACTCTTATACTAAAGGCACATGCTTTTAATCCCAGCACTTGGGAGGCAGAGGCACATGGTTCTCTGTGAGTTCGAGATCAGCCTGGTCTATAGGATGAATTCTAAGGCAGCCAGGGCTACATAGAGAAACACTGTCTCGAAAAAACACAAGTGTTCATACCATATACTGGTGTTTTCCCAGGCAAAATCACCACTATTAGCTGTAGGCCCACATACGTCATTTTCAGATGTTTAAACATGGGCTCCACATTGTCTGCACCTTGAGCATACTTGCAGAAACATGGCTGACCCTGGATGGGCATTCCTGCATCCTTGGAGATTTTACGAAGTTGGTCAGTGAAACTCCTGTTAAGAGAAAACCAGTGGTACACAGTGCTTTCATTTTCACACATAAACAAACATAAGTCTTTATGCAGTTGCCAAAAATAGATTGGCAGTTGTACCACTGCAATTAAAATAGAACAATCAGTATTAGTAAGCTACCAGATAATCAGTCTGGATTTTTATTACTACTTTTTGTGTACTGGAAATTAAACCCAGAGCCTTAAGTATGCTAAGCAAGCAGTCTACCACTGAGCTACATCTTCAAACCCCATTTTTAATTTCTAAAAAATTATAGTTCAGCTGAGCTTTAGGGACTTGAATTGCATTATATATATATTTTTTTTTAATTTTTTTTCTAGACAGGGTTTCTCTGTCCTGGAAACTCAGTCTGTAGACCAGGCTGGCCTCGAACTCAGAAATCCTCCTGCCTCTGCCTCCCAAGTGCTGGGATTAAAGGCATGTGCCACCACTGCCCGGCTTAAAATATTTAAAAAAAAATTAAATCTATAATTCAGAGCTAAAAAAAAAAAAAAAAAAAAGAGGGTCCCAGTTTCAGGTAATAAATATTTTGTATTGTAAGGTTGGTAACACAGAGTAGGTGAGCTTGTGTTCAACTCAGAACATGTAAACATGCTTTCATATTCAAGTCTGGATGTTTAGAATTAGAAACAAACTTGTAACAGATTTGGTTCAAAAAACCAACATTATTTTTTTTTTATTTTGGATTTGAAAAATTACATAAATCTATGCATAAGTCAGGTTCTCATGATTTAGCCTTAGCTGGCCTGAAATTTGCTATGCAGACTAGGTTGGCCTTAAACTTGCAGAGTCCCATCTGCCTCTGCCTCCCTAGTGCTGGAATTCAAAGTGTGAACCACCAGACCTAGTATCAAAGTAATTGATTTTGTATATTTGCCAATGTCTTTTAGGGTTCCTTTTTTCACCCCAGTTCAGTTTCTTGGTTTTCTTTACCCTTCTCATGGACTTCCTTTCACAGATGTGTCTGTAAGAGCTGACACAACTCGGAGGCAGTTTTCCTGCAGCAAAACAAGCTCACCTAGTGAGTTATAACTGCCAAAAGTATGCTAGTTTTCACTTTTACTGGAAAAGGTGCAATGGCCATAGAAAGGTTCTCCTAAAAATTGGAGTTTCCCAAACAGCTCTGCTCCTACTCTGTCTGCTTCACAGCTTCTGGTGAACTGCTTTATGAGTTTCTACTTGAAATATGCAGAAGGCAAGTCAGACTCTCAAAGAATTCTCAGTTTACAATATAGCGCAGGGTCTTTTCTGTAGAGCCAGAAGGCATCACTGTGGAAATCAAGGGGTCACTGCCAGTGTACCCGCACAGACACAGAAAGATGATATTTCATATCTAGAAGGGGTATTACTGAGCTGAAAACAGGATACTCACTTTAGCAAATCTTCCCTACATTGTTTCTGAGGCGCAAAACAAGCCACTGCCCATACTTTAATTTCAATGCCAGCATAAAACTGCTTTCCTCGCATGTCCCAGACACCCTGGTTGGGTGTGGCTACTGTTTTATTCTTTAAAAACAAAAAACAAAAAGAAACAAAAGAAAAGAGAAAAGAGATTACAATCTAAGACCATTTTTATGTTGAAGGGGGAACAAACAAAACTTCATTTGGTACAGTCAGAAGTCAGAAGCAACAGTGAGCACAACTACAGGTAAATTCAAAGGTGCGTCTTTTTTGATTGGTGAGGAAGCAGCTTACCCGGCCTCCATACTGCAACATTGGAGCTGGAAGCACCCTGCCTGTGAGCTCTGTCATCTCATTGTGTACAACAATCCCAAATTCCTTCAGGTATGGGTCAGGTCCACCCACCATGCTGTTGCTCTTCACCTAAGGAATGGGAAAGCCTGCATATATAAGAGCAAACAGGAACTATGTCCCCTCTGGAGCTGTTTATCCTTTTTTGTTTGTTTGTTTGTTTGTTTGTAGCTCACAGCTGGCTAATCTTGAAGACCACACACGCCTTACTGACCAGTCTACTGATTTCCTCCTGTCTGTCAGGAGCAGATCTTGCTGTGGCTTTGATCATGGTGGATGTCTGATTGTCTGTGAGCTTCTTTATGCATCTCTGTCCTGCCACTATATTACAGACCTGCAAAGAGACAAAGAGAAGAGAAGCTAGGTTTTGTAGAAATGGGCTTCTATACATGATGTCTTTGTCTAGTTCCAGGAACTAATAGCTATATAACAAATTTATATGCACAAGATACTTCAAAAACACTAAACTCTGCCACAAGTTTATAACACTTTGTTTGTTTGTTTGTTTGTTTTAAGTCAGGTTTTCTCTGTGTAGCCCTAGCTATTCTGGAACTCACTTTATAGCCCAGGTTGACCTTGAACTCACAGAGATCCAACTGCTTCTGCCTCCTGAATGCTGGGATTAATTAAAAGCATGCAACCAGACCCACCCAGTCTGAAATGTTTCTTTTTTAAAAGAAAAATTAATTCAAGAGATTAGCAAAAGAAATGTCACTTGGCTTACCTCAAGTGGCAGGTAGGTATGCTTTTGCTCTTGTCCCACTTGAAGGCAAGGGAGATGGGGGTACTTCAGATGCAGACTATACTTCTGCTTAAAATACTGAGCTACGGTACATTCCATAGCTTGACCATTTTCTAGCTGCAAAGGGAAGCTAGAGGAAAGAATGTCTATTTAATACTTTTACTTCTTTAACAAGTAAACAAAACCTACTAACATTTCTATGTTGGTTAGTCACTTAAGAAACAAAGGCTGAGGATGTGGCTCAGTGGCTAGAAAGCTTGTTTGACACGTACAGAGCCCTGTATTTGGTCCACAGCACTCCATAAGCTACTTAAATAAACATAGTGGTACTTGCCTGTAGTTCCAGCCCTTAGGAAATGTAGGCAGAAGAATCAGGAGTTCAATGTCATCCTCATTTACATAGCAAGTTTTAGGCCAGCCTGGACTAGATAAGTCTCTTAAAAAGTAGTTTGGGGAGGCAGCAAGATAGCTCATTATGTGAAGGTACTTGCTACCAAGATTGACGTGTGTGTGTGTGTGTGTGATGGGGGGAGAAGGAGAAGGAGAGAGAGAGAGAGAGAGAGAGAGAGAATATCATGGACACAAAGTTATAACAACAAGAAAAGAATTCCTGCATAACCAAAATAATGTAAGATTTATATATATTTAACACTATTTACTTAGGAGAGCCAAGAGCCAATCTTTTCCTTGTGTCAGACAAAAGGTTAGTGATCCTGATGACAAGAATGAACCTACCATATGTAGTAAGTGTACAGACACTTCCATACATATGCTCACTTAGGCACAGTACTCGATGCACCACAAGTTGTGTGATTAGAAAAGCAAGATTGAGTAAGAGGAAAAGAACGCACTGCTAGAGACAGACGCTAATAACTGAGAGTATCGTTGAGCTGTAAAGGAAGGGAGAGACAACTACACACATGATGGCCTGTATGATGGCTAGACCTTAGTAGAGTCATCCTGTAGTGAGAATGATAACAGTATAGTAATTGACTACAATTATTGTACTCCTTTTTAAAAGTCTTAGTTGTGTTTGTATGTAGCATATGTGTGCATGTGTGTGTGCATATGGAAGCCAGGGGTCAACATGCAGCATCTTCTATCACTCTCAACTTACTTTTTGAGACAGAATCTCGCTGAATCTAAATGAGCCCCGTGACTAGGCTGACTGGTCAGCAAGCTGGGGAGCTTCCCATTTCTGCCCTGCTAGCACTAGAATGACGGATGTCCACCTCCATGCCTAGCTTTTATGTGGGTCATGGGGATCCAAATTCATGCTATTCAGTGGTACCACACGGACTGGTCATCTCTCTAGGCCCTGATGACTACATCATCAAATAGAAGTTGATTTATGTTTATTATACTTGGTTCAAAAGGTAAACTGAATCACAAACTTCTAAAATATTTTTAAAGCTTTGATGGTAAGTGCAGATCCTTGTGATCCTGAAAACCACACTACTGTGTACCATTTTCTCCAACGACGTCCAATAGCTTCTTCTGTCATTAAACTGATATCAAATTTTACTGCTAATTTGGGTTTCCTTTTGTTGTCTTTTTCTTTCACTTTGTTATTTTTCTTTTTTTTTTTTGAGACAGAGTCTCTTGGGATAGCTCAGGCTGGACTCAAATTCAAAGCAATCCTCCTGCCTCAGTCTCTCAAGTACTAAGATTACAGGACTAAACCTTCATGCACAGTTTCCATAGTATTTTACATGTGATCCACATACGTTTGATGACTGGCTGGCCGTCTTGTCACATTACAAACTCGATATTTTCGTTTCATCTGTCCACAGTGAGTCACCTCAACCTTAAGACCTAAAGAGTTAAAGAGAGAGAGAGAGAGAGAGAGAGAGAGAGAGAGAGAGCGCCTAAAATATCAGTTTTAATTAAAATCATAGTTACAAAACTAGATTCAAATGTTGTCTTTAAAAAGTCAAGGAGTGGCAGTGCATGGTGGGATACGTCTTTAATCCCAGCACTCAGGAGGCAGAGGAAAGTGGATCTCTGTAAGTTAGAGGCCAGCCTGCTCTACAGAGTGAGTGCTAGGGCAACTAGAGCAATGAAGTGAGACTCTGTTTAAAAAAAAAAAAAAAAAGTCAATGAGTACATTACTCTAGAAAGAATTCTCATGCAGATAATAGCGATTTCTCCACATATGCAAAAAGTCAATAACTTAATACAGAATAAGAGGTGCAAGAATATGGTGACAATTTAATAATCATATAAAGGCAAAAAGTCTCAGCTAAGTAAGATAAATTAGGTCCCAGATGATCTTAAGATGCTCAACCAATTTTTTTTTTTTTGGAGACAGGGTCTCTCTACATAGTTTACATTAGCCTAGATCTCATGATCTTCCTGCCAAAGTCTCTTGATTGCTGAGATTACAGGCATCCAATACCATGCCTGGCTACATAACTGACCTTATGAGTTCACTCAATAAGTTTGTGTAAGTATCGATATGTTCTGGTGTGTATTTTCAAGTCTAAGTGAACACTGACTCTATGGCTAACACAGCTAAGGAACTTATCCAAAGTCCCACCCCTAGGACTAGCTAGGCTAGGAAGGGAACCTAGGTCTATGTGGCTCAAGCCCAGATGACCTGAACTCTGTTACACACACACCATGATGACATTAGCATGGATACCTACCCCTAATTTCTTTGGTAAACTTGACACGCTGGGAGTCTGTTAAAGGTTTCATCTGTTCATTGATGTTCTGAATGTCTAAAACCTCACACATGAACTCAATGATGGGCTGAGCCCGGTAGAAAGCAGTTGCAGATACTAACAAACAGAGAAAGGATACTTAGCATCAAGGCAAAGTGAAGGGCCCAAACTAAAAGAACAAAAACCAGAGTTAGCGGACGGAGTTCCAACCCACCATCAATATTGAGCATCATATTCCACATGGCAGGGCGCACAGACTGGTGAAAGCCGAACCAGACCTCGCGGCCCCCTCCCAGAGGGTGGTAATAACCTTCAGGAGGTGAGAAAAAAGACCGGCCTACTGGAGTGTACCTGAAGAGACAAAGGATTGAATATTTCATGCAAAACATTTTGATGTCAGTTTGTGCACTGTAATCAAGTCTGAATGGTGACTTATGTTGGAACCTTTGCATGGCTAAGAACAATTTGTCAAAAAGCCTGACATCTGTGGGAAGGGATCCAAAGTGGGGTACTGACCTCATAGAGGGGAGATGCCTTGTAATCACATCGAGTGCTTGTACCGAGTCATCTGGGACTTCATTCAGGTGTCCAGCTAAAGCTTCTAGAAGCAGCTGAAGGCTCACAACTGACACCCATTGCACAGACACTTTGAAAGTTTGGTCCTTACCCTCACCTGGGAGGGTCACCTCCATATCGACCTAGGTATAAATACATACAAACAGGTCTGTAATGGTTGTAGGAAAGACCCCATATGGCATATGCATGATGGATATTTATATTAATAATTTAGTAGAAAATATTACATAATAATTAAAAATAAAAGCCAGTGGGATGGAATAGGAAGTAGGTAAATGCTATCAGCTTCAAACCTAATGACCTGAGTTTGATCCTGTGTACCACATGGTAGAAGAGAGAACCAACTTCCACAGTTGTCCTCTAACCCCCATATGTGCACCGTGGCAGGCATGAACCCATCATATACACACATACATACATAGAAGTAAATAAATAAAAATTTAAAAATAAATAAATAAGGAAGATACTACATGGCAGATGAACTTTACAAGTGTTGTGCTAAGTGAAATAAACCTGACATGGAAAGACAAATACTGATGACTCTACTTAGACAAGGTACTCAGAATGAACAGATTCATAGAAACGGAGGTAGAATTAGTGGGCTCCAGGCGGCAGGGGTATGGGAACGACTGCTTAGAGGGCAGAGAGAACACCTACCCACTAAGAGAACAGAAAAATTCTAGATTGATGGTCGTTACAAGTACACACCAATGTGATGCTCTTAAAAACAGGGTGGCTGGGGCTGGAGAGACGGCTCAGTGGTTGAGAGCACTGACTGCTCTTCCAGAGGTCCTGAGTTCAGTTCCCAGCAACCACATGGTGGCTCACAGCCATCTGTTGGGATCCGATGCCCTCTTCTGGTGCGTCTGTAGAGAGAGCCAGTGTACTCACATACACAAAATAAATAAATAAATCTTTTAAAAAATAGTTGTAATATCAAAAGAAAATCTTCATATTAATATATATAAAAAACCAAAACCACCACCAACAACAACCCAACAACAGAGTGGCTGTTTATGCCTATAATTCCAGCCATCTGGAGGTTGATGCAGAAGGGCCACAGATTCAAGGCCAAACTGAGACATATCTCAAAAAAATTTGTCTTGAATTAGAAAATATAGTTAAGGGGTATCTAATTGTATATAAATGGAAACAACACCTAGACATACTGTTTAATGAAAAAAATCACAGAATGATATGCAAAAAAATAAACACCTACCTAAACATACATGTGAAAAGATAACACACATAAAACACCCAAAGTAACAAGTAACAAACTAATGTGGGGTGCCCCTTTAACAAGGAGAATGGAACTGGCATGTAGGAAAGTCAAGAAGCCATAGTTTTTGTGAATTGCCTAAGTTTAAAAGGAACATATATTCATATACTACTTATAAATTTTCTTAAAGATTTATTTATTTATTTTTCTGTATGTGAGTAAACTGTTACTCTCTTTAGACAAGAAGGGATAGGATCTCATCATGGATGGCTGTGAGCCACCATGTAGTTGGTGGGAATTGAATTCAGGACCTCTGGGAGAGCAGTCAGTGTTCTTAACTGTAGAGCCATCTCCCAAGCCCTATAAATTTAACTTAAATCATAAAAAAAAATTTTGTGGCTCTAAGAATTAAATTCAGAGCCCTATGGATACCTGGCAAGAGTTATACCACTGGGTTATCTTTTAAAGTTTTATTTGTCTTTTAAAGTTTAAAGTTTTAACAGATAAACTTCATTTATTAAAGCTTTGTTTTGCCTGTGTATATGTATGTGTCCCATGTGCACGCCCAAGTATTCTAGGAAGTAGGAAGAAGGTCTCGGGTCTCCTGGAACTGGAACCACCACACTGGTGCTTAGAATTGAATCTGAGTCCTCTGCAAGAACAACAATGGTTCTTAACCACTTAACCATCTCTCCAACATTACCTTTTTAGATTTAAAAGTACGTTTAAAAGCCAAGTTTTAGATGATTTACTTCCTTATCTATGTTTGTGTATGAGTGCAGGTTCCCACGGAAGCCAGAAGAGAGAGATGGACTTCCTGGAGCTGACTACAGGCAGCTGTGCTGCCTGATGTCAGTATTGGGAACCAACCCAGTCCATGGAAAGAGCAGCAAGTGCTCTGAACTGCTGAGCCATCTCTTCAGCACATTCTCCAAATGCTTATTACACCTATTTATTTATGCATCCCTTTATGTGTACGTACAAGTACATGCTTGTAGGTGAGTGTGAGGTACGGCACATGTGTGAACGTCAGAGGACAACCTGTGGAAGTCAGTTCTCTCTTTCCACCATATGGGTTCCCAGGGATTGAATCCAGATTTTCTGGCTTGGATTACACTACACCCACCAAGCCACTTCAGCATCCCTAATTTTAAAATATTACAGGCTTACAATACCCTGTGACTCCAGCTCCAGAAAATTTGATGCCCTCTTCTGATCTCTGTGAGAACCACTTAAACTTGTGAACAAACTCACACACAGTCATTTGAATAAATATAATTAAAACATATAATTTTAAAAAATAATTCTTTTACTCTTTGTTTTTGGTTTGTTTGTTTTTGACTCAGCGTCTTACCACCCTGGCTGGTCTGGAATCTCCTAGGTAGACCACACTGGCTTGGAACTCAGAGATACGCCTGCCTGTCTCCGGAGTGCTGGGATTAAATATGTTTACCACCATGCTTGGCACTTTTTTTACTATTAAAATAAATGTTAAAGAGTGTACTGTGGTGTGCTTTTTGTAAATGAAGCTATGAAAACCCTGGTGTTATAGTTAAGCAGTACTTTGTTAAAGTTCACTGTGAATGTGTAAAGTATGGAATATATGCGAAGATGACAGAATCAATGTAACCCCAGTGCTCCTCGAATCTGTGACCACCAGCGAAGACACGACGATGGTGGAAAGTGTAACCAGTCTATCAACACAATTCCAAGAACTGAAGTGAAGGAGGCTGTGAGTGGCTCAGTGGTTGAGTGGTCACTCAGCATGTGTGCAGCCCTGGGTTAATGCCCCATAGCAAGAAGAGGAAGAGCAGCAGGAAGAGGAAGCTTGCCAAATGGTTCAGTGAGAAAACATGCTTGCCAACAAGCTTGATACCCCAAATTCCATCTCTGGAAGCCACACGGGGGATGGAGAGAACCAACTCACATGCACCGTGGCATGCGCATGCCTCCCAACAGTAAGTGACTGAAGGAACAAAAGAACTAAAGGATGACCCAGAAGGAGGCTTCTGCCATCTGCAGCTGCCACTGAGTAACCTGGAGTCCCCGCTACTGACACTTACCCTATCCCGTCCAATCGGCAGTGGATGTGCTGTGTACATGTTTCTTTTGCCATCATAGCCAGGCTGCCGATCTCCAAATATCTGCATCTTGAAGTGTCGCACCATAGTGTCTACTACCTCCCTTAACAATGGAGACAGTGGCAGTTAGCTTTGAGAAATGATAGAGAGAAAGTGGCACCATGCTTTCATCTAAACTCTGTGGTGCCACTAGAAAAAAGTCAAAGTCACAAAGATGACTCAAGTAATGAAAAAAAAAATAACTTAAGGAAGGTAACAACACATGGGCACAAACGAGCACACAGAACATACATGTAATCCCAACACTGGGATGGTGGAGGCAGGAAGATCAGGAGTTCAAAATCATCCTTGGCTAAATACTGAGTTTGAGATAAACTTAGACTATGTGAGACCCAGTCTCCCCCCCCCCAAAAAAAAAAGGACCAATGAGATGGCTCGCAGATAAAGCTAAACCCCAGAACACATAGGTAGAAGAAAACCAATTCTCTCCAGTAGTCCTCTGGCCTCCACACATATGGCACAGCACACTTGTGACACACACACACAAGTAAAAATGTAACAATAGCTTTATAAGAGTAATTTAAAGCATCTAAGCTTTGTGTGGCTGTTTACCACTAAATGATGTTTCTTATAAATCAGACTCCTGCCAGGCAGTGGTGGCGTATGCCTTTAATCCCAGCACTTGGGAGGCAGAGACAGGCAGATTTCTGAGTTCAAGGCCAGCCTGGTCTACAGAGTGAGTTCCAGGACAGCCAGGACTACACAGAGAAACCCTGTCTCGAAAAACTTTAAAAAAATAAAAATAAAAATAGAAAAATAAAAATAAAAAATAAAATCAGACTCCTTATCAAGAACATTTGTCTTGGGGCTGGAGAGACAGACTCAGTGGTTAAGAGCACTGGCTGCTCTCCCAGAGGTCCTGAGTTCAATTCCCAGCACCCACATGGTGACTCACAACCATCTGTAATGGGATATGATGCCCTCTTCTGGTGTGTCTGAAGACATGACAGTGTACTTACATACATTAAATAAAATTAAATAAATAAATAAATAAATAAATCTTTAAAAAAAAGAATCTTAGAAGGTCTTAGAAAAAAGATTAGAATTTAGAAACTTGTAAATCAGTACATCCAAGATGCATGGTATTCAAATGAGGTCAACCCCCCCTCTTTTTTTTTTTTTTTTTTTTGGTTTTTTTTTTTTTTTCGAGACAGGGTTTCTCTGTGTAGCCCTGGCTGTCCTGGAACTCACTCTGTAGACCAGGCTGGCTTCGAACTCAGAAATCTGCCTGCCTCTGCCTCCCAAGTGCTGGGATTAAAGGCGTGCGCCACCACTGCCCGGCTACTGATCTAGTTTCTATTAGACAGAAATCTCGATTAGTCAGTCATGGCTGGCTCTACTTTAGTCTTGCACATACAGCAGGTTTTCTCTATGCAGCTCCTAAAGTAAATGCAATGGTATGGAAACTGGAATACATAACACAAGACACAGCGGATCCAAGTCCTCAATGTTGTCAGTGCTATTGTGTCACCACCTTTACAAAGATATGTGTGTGTGTGTGACAGAGAGAGAGAGAGAGAGAGAGAGAGAGAGAGAGAGAGAGAGAGAGAGAGAGAGAGATAGATAGATACTGGATCCCCTGGAGCTGTAAGATACCCAATGTGGGTCCTTAGAACCAAGCTCCAGTCTTCTTTAAAAGCAAAAGGCATTCTTGACTATCTCTCTAGCCCCTACCTTACTAACCTTATTAAGTCCCATGTTTGTGAACTGTATCCTAACTCAAATATCACAAGTGAGATCAGTGGAAAAGTCACACTTATAAACAAGTCATGAGAAAGAATGGTAAATAAAGAAATGTATATAATATAGTCTCACTTTTTAAAAAGCTAACCTAAGAGGTATGTATTCTTTCCATAATTTCTCAATTTGTCTTCCTTTTTTTTTTTTTTTTTTTTTATTTTTTAGGTCTCATTCAGCCTAGGCTGACTTTGAACGCTTCATAGTGTGGGGATGACACCTGGTTTATGGAGATCAAATCCAGGGCTTTGTGTACAGTGACATGCATTCTATTACTGAGCTATAGTTCTGGCCCCCATCCCTGCTTTATTTTTCATTTTATGTTTTATTTGCTGATTTATCAAGTTTTGACCTTTAGAATATAAACTTCTCAAAGGCCCTCCCCCACGCCTAGAAGGTCATTTCCCTGTGCTTGTACAGCTATTTAGCTAGGAATTCTCCAGGACAGACTCCAGCAGCTCACTCCTGTGCACCTGGGTGTGTGGTGCTAGCCTGCCAGCTGATCACAAACACTTTCTCTCTGACTCCTTCTTTCTCTAATCACAATCTTTCAGGATTTTCCTTTTTTTTTTTTTTTTTTTATGGTTTTTTGAGACAGGGTTTCTCTGTGTAGCCCTGGCTGTCCTGGAACTCACTCTGTAGACCAGGCTGGCCTCGAACTCAGAAATCCGCCTGCCTCTGCCTCCCAAGTGCTGGGATTAAAGGCGTGCGCCACCACCACCCGGCTGTTTTTCAGGGTTTTCAAGAAGCTAGCTCAACTCCTAAGAGAATTTAATGTGTTCAGTGTGCCCATTTTCTCTGCAAGAATCTTGCCCTTCACTTCTCTGCTTACAGCAATGCCAAGAGCATGCTGGGTAACAGTGGAGACTTATCTGACTCGACTCGCATGGATAATAGCACTAGTAGGGGTTCTGTTGTGAACAGCAGCCATTCCCTGGATGTCTATAACTTAATCTTTTCTATGTATTCATTCATATGTGGCCAAAGGAACAATTCCATGTTTTCTAAAATGCCTAGCTTGCATACATGGCATGCCTTGCCTCGTCATTCTGGTGAGTTACTAAAAGACTGTAATGTTAGTGGAAAGGCAAACATTCTCTGGTACAGAGCAGCACAGAACAATACCTGCCACACTATAAATGCTCAACCCAGTTTGTGTTGAGCCAGTTGTGGAGGCCTACACCTACAACCCCAGTCCTCAGGGCTGTTTGGAGTCTTATTTTCTGTAACCATGTGCACTTCCTACATGGATCTCGTTCAGAATCATGCTTTACCAACAATATACTCCTGACTTTCAAATGCCTATTTTCAGTACACGTCTCCCCTAAATCCAGTTTCACAAATTCTGTAATCTACTAGACACCACGGCCTTAGCATGTCTAGCATATCCTGGTGCTAAAGAGGTAACTCAGCAGCAAAGAGGAGTTAAGACTTGGTTCCCAGTACCCGAGTTGGGCAGCTCACAACTCCAGCTCCAAGGAAATCTGACATCCTTTTCTAGTCTCCATGGGTGGACACACACACACACACACACACACACACACACACACACACGTACAAATAAATATTTAAAACCCATGTCCTGCCGGGCAGTGGTGGTGCACGCCTTTAATCCCAGCACTTGGGAGGCAGAGGCAGGCGGATTTCTGAGTTCGAGGCCAGCCTGGTCTACAGAGTGAGTTCCAGGACAGCCTGAGATACGCAGAGAAATCCTGTCTTAAAAAACAAAAAAAAAAAAAAAAACAAAACAAAACAAAAAACAAAAACAAAAACAAAAACCAAAAAACCAAAAAACAAAACAAAACAAACAAACAAACAAAAAAACAAAACAAAAACACATGTCCTAACTCAGAAGGCTAAAACTGGAAGATCTGAATTCAAAAACACTGTAAATCAATGCTTGTCTGGGCTGCATATCAAGACCCTGTCTCAAAAGATGATTGATCTCTACACCCAAGCTGAGTAATCATGGGCTTATACAACACTAAACTATACCAGAAAGCCAAATTATTGCAATATAATTTTTAAAAAGGATAAAGCAAAAACAAAACAAAACTCCCTAAACATTGCCAAATAGCTCAGTTGGCAGCAAAAGCATTGTCGGCAAAGCAAGAGTCTTCGTGTCAGAGGCTGCTGCAGGATGACCACACTGAGGCAGAGACAGGGAAGTGAGTGTGTGTGTGCTTTTGCTACAGCGTATCTTCATACTGGTAACCTGACCATACCTACCAAACAGTTCACTTCATCAGACCCTCTAGAGTAATGCTAGAAATAAGCGGGTCTTCTCCTGGAGCTGTTTTTTCAATACTCTAAGACAATCCTTACATCATGCTCTCATGTACAAAGCAGTAACTTCTAAATCTCTAGATAACTCTATCTCCCCACACACTAACATCTTCATCTACTGTCATAAATGTCTGGTAACTTTGATTGACGATGACCAATGACATGTTCACTTTATCAAAGAGTATGTATTTATTGATAGATCTATGCTATGTAGATCAGCGTAGTTGCTGGAACAACCAAAGAAGATCACATCATACACTTACTACCAGGGTAAAACAATGCCTACCTGCTGAGAGACTTCAGAAGACAGTAGGATACATAATAAATTATCTGAACTATATGTACTTAAAAGTCTACTCTGTCTGATTCTTACCTGTTGACTCTCCGAGGCCGTTTTTCTGGTTTAATATCCACATCATAGTGATACACATCTATTTTAGGGATCTGAACCTGAAAATGATTGGCTAACAGTCGAATTGGTTTCCCAACAGTTCCAAGGCCAGGACGCCTAGGTGGCTGGAAGAGGCTGGCTGGAGGTCCTAAAGAGAAAGACATACATTGTGCTATTTGGTAAAGAGGAGAATAATGACAGTTAAAATTACTGAGATCTTATTTATCACTGAACATGTTCTGATATAAAAAAATTCTTGGATCTCTTAAGCTGGAGAGATTGGTTCAGAGGCTAAAAGCACTGGTTGCTTTTCCAGAGATCTCAGGTTTAGTTCCCAGGATCTACATGACAGCTTACAACAGTTTGTAATTCCAGTTCTAGGGGATCCAATGCCCTCTTCAGATCTTCATGGGCACCAGGCATACACAGGGCACAAGCCTGCATGCAAAACACTCACACACATAATTTTTAAAATAAGTATGACACATTTAAAAAAAATTTTATGCATATCGGTGTTTTTCCTGCATGTGAGGATGTCAGATCCCCTGGAACTGGAGTTACAAACAGTTGTGAATTGCTATGTAGGTGCTTGGAATTGAACCTGTGTCATCTGGAAGAGCAGTCAGTGCTCCTAACCACTAAGCCATCTCTCCAGCCCCATATTTTTTTCTTAATTGAGGTGTTGAATATACTAAAGTTATCTAGATTTGTAGGTAGTTAGTTAGCAATGTTGCTTTTATTTTCAATATAAGGAACATCAAAGTTAGACAGAGAGTATGATGAATTTATCTCATATACAAATTTACAAAATTATATACATTTAAAAACAATATGTAGCCAGGCATATTGTAGCATGGTTTTACATACCTGGAATGCTAAGGGAAGATAGTTAAGAACTCAAAGACATAACCCTGTCTCAAAAAATAGCAATAGGGGCTGGTAAAATGGCTCAGTAAATAAAGACTTTACTGTCAAGTTAGACAACCTTATTTTGATACCCAGGACCCACATGGTCATAGGAGAGAACTGACTCTAATGCACACAAGCAGACACACACACACACACACACACACACACACACACACACACACACACA